TGATTAGGAGTTTATGAAATAATTGTCAATGACTGTTCTATCGGGGATTCGTAAAAAGACATTTTTCGGTAGTTGGAGGCCGTGGTGGAAGGTGAGCCTCCATTTCTTAGATAACTGTGGGTGTGATTTTTTTCATCTCCACATTTAATGTTGCCTAGAAATATTTAGCAACTTATAAGAAAATTTTATGTAACTAATGTTTGACATAAATATTTTTTTAATACATATGTTATTACGTAGTCAACTACATCATGGCACGTGCAAGGCACGTGCTTCTCACTAGTTTTGAAAAAGAGACAATTAAAGTGACAATTTATTGATGCAATTTTAAAATTTTCAAAACAGAAAATAAAAAATCAATTTGAACAACAAAAGATGATTTATTAGAGCTTGTTTGTGAGGAATTTTTGGGGGAAAATTGATTTTTGAGTAGTGATATAATGGAAAATGTATCGTTGAAAAAGAAGAAAAAATTATTGATATGATGAAAAATATTATTTTATTGAAGAATGTGTGATTGAAAATGAGAATTGATTTACTGTAAAATTTGAGAATCTCTCCCAAACACCCCCTCAAGTTCAAGTATTTATTTTTCAATAAGTTTTACACAGAGTTACAGGAAATGCAAATGAATAATCATAATAAACATAATTTACAAACGTATAATTTCAAGTTGTTTATAGAATAGAAACCAACAAGAAAGAACCGGAAAAGAAAAATAAAATAAAAATAACAATTCTAAGGGTGCTTGGGAGTTTTTTTTTTTTTTTCCTACTTGTTTTGATCGATTTTAGATGGCACCATTTATGAGTGGTTTGGAAAATCGATGCTTATTAATTTTTTTGACCACTGCTTTTAGAATGTTTAAAATCTTCCAAAATCTCACATTTACTTTCACATCTCTCTCACATAGGCGATGGACTCGTCATTTTGAAAATTGCGGGCCCCACCCCTATATGAGAGGGATGTGAATGTGAATGTAAATGTGAATGTGAACCAATGTGTGTGCATTTAGCATTTTTTAATTTTGATTGTTTCTCTCAAACTACCAAATGGGTAAGTTTGGCTATTTTTCTTATTCTTTTCTAATTCTACCGTTTATAAAATAATTATTTCTATCAAAATATTTTATTCAAAACTCGCTTGTAAATAAAAATACATTAACTAAATATTATAAGCAAAAAAAAAACTATAGAATTGAGTAGTTGTAGGTAAAAAAATTACTTTTGTGTAAAAAAATGTTTATAAAATAAAAATACTACTAAAAGGATAAAATTTATAAAACATAAAAAGCTACTTATAAAAAAATTCACTTGTGTGTAAAAATTATCTATAAGTACAAAATTAACTTATAATTATAAAATTAATATAAGGAAAGAAAATGCTATCCTAAATTTTAAGTAAATATTTAAATTCTAAAGTTAAATATTAAGTTATATGTTAAAAAAAAAATTACATATAAATGAAATATGGTTTATGAGTAAAAAACAATCATATATTAAATTATATATTGAACTTTTCACAAAGCAACATATGTGTTTCTTTTAAAAAAAAACTTTCAAAATCGATGATAATAAACTCAATCATGGGTTGGATTATTTTATTAACCGCTAATAAAATCAATCAAATTTGATATGTTCATAAATGCTCAAAATCGATACTTTAAAACTCCCAAGCGGGCCATAAGAGGTTTTTTCTGCTGGACCATTTTCAAGAGAGAGAAAAAATATGGTCACTTTTTGGGAAAATTGACAAAATGCCCCCTTTTACATGTAAAGTCAATTTGTAATTGTCACAAATAAACGAACTCTATTGAAAGACTCGACATTGACACACGTTCAAATAGACGATGATTTCTCGACAATTTGAGAATGCGTTATAAAATTGTAATTGTGGCAAATATGTGATCTGTCTTGAAACATATAACATCGTGCACACATTCACATAAGATGAAGATTTTGTCGACGGTTTGAGAATGAGCTAGACAATTTGAAGAGCTGTGGTCAATAGAAAATTGAATATATACTTGGCCTTTTATAAATTAGAAGGAGAGAGGAGAGGAGAGAAAGAAAAAAGTAATTGAGTTTTTGAAAATTTTAAATGTCTAATGTCATATATCGTTATGCTTATATCATTTTAGCCCTTGATTGGTCCTCATTTTTAAAATTAATTTTTTTCATTAAATTTATCTTCAACCACATTTCATAGGACTTAAAATTTTTATAAATTTTTCATCATCAACTTTTATCAAAATTTATTAAAAAACTGATTTTTATCCGAACTAAATATGGCCTTAATGATTGAAAGACTTATAGAAACTCAATGTCCACCACGATGAGAAATTGTTGAATAATTTACAGTGATGATTTGTAGCTCTCGCGTGGAGGGTGCACTACTTCAAATTTTTGCTTGTTTTCCTTTATATTATGTCTTGTGATAGAGATGATGACTAAATCCATAACAATGGTTTGCAATTTCACCCAGATTTTTAAGAGTAATACTATTGAGCTCCCATTGGGTTATAACCTGTGTTTATATGGTGCTAATTTGATATTAAATGATTAAGTAC